ACGAACAGTCATCGCTGCTTGCTGGCTGAACCGCTTTGAGGATTTGGGATGTTAAGCTGACACGATTTAACGCACCCGGGGTGGTTGCTCTACTCGAGTTTGATTGATGGGGTGGTGGTGGAGGCGGTGGTGGTAATGGAGGGGGCGGTTGAGCTGTTTGTTCTGAACTGGTCCCGGTTGGACTTGCTATCGCCGAGGTAGTTGCCATCAACCTTGACATTGTGACTGGTGGTGGTGGAATAGGTGGTGCTGATTGAGGGGAACTGATTAGTGACGACCCGGAGCCCGCCTGCCCGGGATTAGTGTGAGGTCCGCTCTCACTCGGACTACGACCGACGGGCCATCCTGGACTGGGACTTCGAAAATTCTTCGCGAAAGTAGGTGGACTTGCACCACGGAAACGAAGATTGGTCAGTTTAGATACTGGACCACTGCTCGGTTGATCAGATTCACCCCCAGAAGCAGAGGAATTCGCTTCATTCGGACTAATGGGCGAGGTTGAACCGGGTGGTATGCTTTTTTTCTGTAACAATAACCCAGGTGAGACTGCCAAACTCGACAGAACGCTTCCAGTCGATGAGCCTAATGAAGTGTTGCTGGAGACTAATTGACGTGAGACAAATGCTCCAGATCCGTTCGGTCCGCGTGACTTGGCTAGACGACCTCCGGAGGACAATCTAACAACGGAATGAAAAATTGATTGAACTTCCTGATAGCTTTCCGCTGCAGTGGTCTCATAGTACGGAATACTGTGCCGTTTGGCGAATTCCTCCGCTTCCATTTTCTCCACCAATCTGTAAAAGAAATTAAAATTCCCAGTTAATTACATTCTGTCACCTATATAATTACGTTTGTCAAATTAGAAGAAAACCAGATTGTTCCGGGACATCCAGTTCTAATTTTACATTTCATCTACACCAACGTTGGTGAATCAAAAATGAATGTTGGGATCTTGATAATTTGATAAATTCACTGGAGCTAGTATCAAGAATAACTAAGATGCATCTCATTCTGGTAAAAGCATTTACTTATCAATTCAAAATTATTTCAGTGTGTTCCCATGACTCACTAAAGCAACTTTATTAACCCGATGTCGACTAATCCCGGGCGAGACTGCAAACCAATTGAAAATGTGCATCGCAGAAAACACTCATTATTGTTGGCGCCCATTGTTCTGATGGCCAGTCAGTTGGAGGGATGTTCTACGCATCACGCGGAACAAGTGAGATGGTCATTAGCATCGTTTAGTAAGTCCATGATGTTAAAAGGCCAATTTTCATTTCGGAACTTACCTTTCTAGGTGTATACCCAATGCTTCTTATCGGTTGTGAAAACACTGCAAAGGACAACCATCATAGAATGACTACTTTTTATATGTGGGGACAGATTTAGATACTCTGTAGTGACTGCATATCTACGACGCAAAGCGGTGAAGGTTATCTGTAAATAATGAATTGCTTTGGACGTAAATTTAGGACCTGTTCCAAGGAATTATCAAGTATTTCAATGTTGATTAGAACAAAGGCAACGCGAGACCTTAAGAGTTTGATGAAAATTTCAAACCATTATCTGCTCACTCCGAACCCAGGAACCAAATTTAGTTAAAAGTAGTTGGAGATGTGTCCCTTAGCTCACCAAACACTGAATTTAGTCCAAATACTCTGCGGTCTGAACACGTAGTGCAGCGTATAAGCTCACTTCCGCTGATTCACCGTCTAGCTCACATATTACTTCTTATAGAAAGTGAAGCAATTCTGTGAACGGCTGGTGTCGAACATTAAGTCATAGTGCAAGTGGACCGGCATGAGTCATATAGGTGGAGAAATCACTGCCCCTCTCGGATCGGACAATGGCTATGCGAAACCTATGCCTATCAGGCAAATAGTGAATCATAGAAACAATGAAGTTTGCCCATTTGTTTTTTCTTGCCTGTGCTTTTTCCTTGCGTTCTCCAATTTTTGGTTTCATTTCCTCATTGAACTCACTGTTCTCTTCCAGGTTCCAGATCATGATCCCGAATAATAATGTGAGGTTGGCTAACAGTCAGATTTGTTTCCATAAAATACACAAGCCCGCTCATTATGTTTTCACAACTATCAGACCACTTCATTTTGGACAGTATCCAAGTTCATTTGTAAATCACCAACGTGGAGGAAAATATTCTAAAGAAGTTTATTCCACTGACAGGAAAATAGCACTACCTGTCTCTTTTGATTACCTAGGCTGAAATTAATTAAGAACAATTATGCGAATGAGTGCCTGATAAAATCTTTGTGGTGATATGGTCAGCAAAACAACGGAGGAAGTTATATTTTCGATTGCTTATCCAAAAATTGCTCAGAAAATTGGTTATTTTGTAGGTTGCTATACCATTTCATATGCCACTCGAATATTCCAGCCTTTGGTATGGAAAGCGATTTTGTAATGCTTACTCACAATTGGATTATCGAAACCTCGGAAAGTTTCCAGATGCAAATTATACCATTGCTGCCTAACAGCCCCAGTTTCAATGTGATGCATTACCTGTTTGTTTCCGGGGTTCAAAAGCGGAGACAATAAGCTCATATCTAGTCCCAATTTAGATATCAAAATCAGATATGTAACGGGAAACCCAAAGGACTGTTACGAATGGTAAACAACCAAATGTATAACTCGTCTGGATTTAATTCTTTTTCTGCCCACGGTTTATCCTGATGAATAAATACCGTTTACACATAATTTTTGGTCTGTGTTTTGTCGACGTTCAGTGATACTGAATAACAGTGTTTTGTTTTCAGTTAACTACTAACCTTTCTTGTGAGTAAACCCTCCCTTTCTCCCTCTCTCAAATGTTTTTCTACGGTCACTTTCACGACAAAAAATTGTAGGTTTAGTCTGTCCATCTTTTAAATTAGCATTGTTTAATGAGCATCACATTGAAGCTTCGTGAAAATCACCAGAGACATATATTCAAGGAATAAGATCAGTAATCACGAAATTCGAGATGAAAATGCATTGGCATATAACTATTTTTTCACCAGCTGATTCGTATGATTTATGCTATCAGATTTTTTATCTAAGCAACGTATTCACTGCGTTCTACCTGCTTCATAGGGTTGTAAATATGAATTATTCAGTTTTTATAGAGATCTCGATAAACATTAATTTGTCAGATGTCAGCACGGCAAACAGACAGAACTGCTCGATATTCATTTGTTTTTTTTTGTTGTGTTGCCTTTGCTTAAGTGTGGAGTTTGCCAAATACCTTCATTGTATTCAAATCCGATCAGGATGAGCATGAAATGAACGGCTCAGAAGTAATGCGGTGAAGCGGTTTCAACTTTTCCGAGTCCTGTGGCTTCAAAATCGATTGAAACGTTGACTACATGTGCCTATATCCTCATTGACCAATTATATATATATATATACATATATATATATATATATATATATATAGATATATATATATAACAC